ATCTGTAACCGAGGGGGCTCGTGCGCAATTATTCGACATGTTCTTTCGGAATCTGGCCCGCTTGTTCCAGCAAATTGTCCCACCATGTAAAGTACGGCTCGTAGCCTCCACCGCCTCGTGCATGATGGAGGCTGTGCTTTCTTGCTCCGCCTCCCCAACCCTTGGGCAGTATCTTGTCATAACCCCACGGTAGATCCAGCCCCGAATGCAGCTCGACTAATAGCCATACGAATATGGGTACAAACAAAGTCCGCGTGAAGACATGGCTCTTTATGATGTTGAGGCTGAAGTTGGCCAGCAGCACCAGGCCCAGTCGCTCGAGAATGTGCAACTGGTTGGTAATCTGGGGGTGTATCTCGGCGTGTCGATGGTGCGGTGCGTGCCATCGTTTGACCACGGGTATGACGTGAAGCGAGTAGTGGAAGAGGAAGAATAGCGCGTCGTAGAGGAAAAAGCTCGTCGCGAGCTCGAGGGCGATTCTGCGGCTCGTAGGAGGAAGGTCTGGAAGAGCGCGTTGCGTTTGCAGCGGGGAAGACATCGTCATGTTGTGCAGTGTTGGCACCAGAAACGTGCTGTGATACGCCGCAGTGGAGTTGTTTGCTGCGATTGCTGCCGCGGCCGCGTGGTAATTGCCCGACTCTAGCATTGCAGTAAGCGGAACATCGGCAAACTTCTTGATCATGGTCAGATCCATGAGCAGCAGCGGCGTCATGTAGGTGACAGCCTCGCCCCATCGTCGCGAAGGGCGTCGCATCCCATGTGGCTTCCTAGCTGCATCTCCCTCTTTCGTATCCTGCTGAACCGCAAATCTCCATTGCGGGTTTCGCATGAACACAATCGTCATAGACACCTCGATTACTGCGTAAAGAAGGACTGTCCATATCGTCTCAAAGGTTGACAGACGATATAGAGGGTTCCGTATCAGCCATTGCCACAGAGGTGTGAGAAGAGGTTGGTATAGGCTTGGGAAGGCGACGGAAGAGAGGAATAGGGTTCCTAGAACAGCTCGATACGTTGGAGCCATCATGATATGTGCTTCTGGGTGGAGAGATTTCCACGGTGTGTTGAGTAGGATGTATTTGACTTCCTTTGGCGCTCTCTGGGCGTTGATGACTCTTGACGTCATCCGATCGGAACGGTTCCGAAGGCATTCTATCTCGAAATTGCATCTCACCCATCCATGGATCACCATCATTCGCTATCCAGTTGACATCTACCGCAGTCATGTTAGACATCCAGCTTCGACCAATTAAAGACACGCTCTTCGATTCTATCACGCCACTCGTTCCCTCCATGTGCTCGCCACTAGCCATCACGTTTCTGGCCTTCTCCTCGGGTGTGATCTCCTGTATTTACGCTGCATCCAACAATACTTTGGCGAGCACCACGTTCTGGGCACTGAACAGGGCACTGGATTGTCTCGATGGCGCTGTCGCCCGCAAACGCAACCAGTCTTCGGATCTTGGCGGCTTTTTCGACCTCTTGGGCGACTTCATCGTCTATTCGGCCACCCCTATATCCTGCGCTTTAGCACGTAATGGTGAGCCCAATGCAAAGAGCATCTGGCTCTCAGTGGCTGTTTTAGAGGCATCATTTCACGTCAACAACTTCGTCTTGTTCTACATTGGCGCCATTCTCGAGAAGCGCAAGGGCAGCGGGAAAGATGGAAGCCGGGTTAAAGAGCTGACCAGCGTGGCAATGCGACCAGCACTTATCGAAGGGACGGAAAGCGCGGCTTTCTTCACAGCCATGCTCATCTTTCCTCGCTATCTGGAGCATCTCTCATGGACTATGGCCCTTTTAGTATGCTTAGGCATTGCTCAAAGGACAAATTGGCTTGTGCAGGCGCTGAGCTAACTTGTATCGAATGGAACTCGCTACAGAGAAGGAGAGACCGCTTTCTGCTGCATGATGCCCTTCTCTCGAAGCTTCGAGATGACACTTTGTGCATTGCCTTTACAAGCCGCAAGCTCCGTGTTGCTCATCACCTCTGAGAGACTACCATTGCTTCCGCTCGACACAATGGTCGGATAACGGATGTTGTTGGACTCGATGAAGTTCTTCACCTGCAAATGGTCAATACTTAGATCCCAGTACTCGGAAGATCTCATCGCGACTACGAACCTCTTCAGAGAGCTCATCTCTATGCCACTGCACGATGTGGTATCCAGACTCAGCCTCTATTGCTTTCTTCGCTTCAACCCAAGCTGGTGTTTCCGTCAATGATAATCCGCCATGTGTAATATCACCTGCGGGAATCAGCATACTTTGTCACATTATCAGACGGATGAATTCGCCGAGGGTAGCATACAGGCAGCACAAGCTGGATTCTCCTCTGAAGAATGGCAAATTTTCCGATAGCCGTACCTCAATTTGCCCATGATAGATGCGTCGGCATTGTATAGGATGTAAAGTGTACGAGACATTACTGCGACTCGCTTTAACTGAGAATAACGTGATGATGTTGTCTGCGGATCGGGTCCAACTCGGTGGCTGGGATGAAGGGGTCGATGACGTGCATACCGCACGGACCATGAGTGTCAGTCAGCCGAGGAGCGCCCAAGAAGCCACCGCAGCCATTTCATCGCCTCCCATCAATACGCTATTTGCATGGCACTCCTTTAGCCCTGAAAAGAAACATTCCGCAATACCGAACCTCGAGGATGCCAACAGATCCAATCAGGTTCAATAAGGCCGTTTCAGCAGCGCATGCCACAACGTCTTCTATCACTGCATTGTTGTTACTGCGATACGCGTCATGGCCGATACTACCGTCACAAAGATCAGCCCCTCAAGACTCTCACGGAAAGAGCCACCACCTAGACGATTCGCGGAACCCTACGATCAATGGTCACAACAAGTTGGCTAACGCGCTGACTGCATGGGAGACCGCTTACCTCCTGTACGACACTTATGCGATGATTCATGCACGCCGTAAGAAGGACCAGTCAGCAGTTCGCGCTGCCTTACGCGTTGTGGCCCGGGACTCACCCATCACTCTCGTTCATCACGTGCTGCTCTCATCCGCGTTACTCGTGTTGCAAGCGTACATTGCAGCCGGCAAAGAAAAGGGGATGTGGGTGATCACCGCGTTCTTATTGATGAATGGCAGTACACCACTAATGCATGCGCGATGGTGGAACCGACAGCGCACAGGAGCATCAAACACTGCTCTAGATATGGCCTTCTTGGCAACATTCGCGGTTTCAAGATTTGGTGTCGTTCACTGGATATTGACGAAATACGGCCAGCATCATGGCCTTGGTCCGTGCCAAGCGTATGGAATGCTCAGGAAACGATGTCAGATCGGAACCGCTATGCTGGTTGGGCTGAACGCTATCTGGTGGACCATGCTGGCTTTCAACATAGCGAAGAGGAACATCAAGCGACGAATACATTGAAATCTTTCTATAGAGAGCTACGCGACACACGTATCATAATTGGGTCTGACGGTCTCTGAGTCGGCAACTGCTTCATATCTCGAGCCCAATCCTCAGGCATCACCGAATCGTTCGGCTCCCATCCCAGCCAACCGCGTACTCCACGCGGTTTAATCTTCCCATCAATCTGGATTCCCAGGCGCAAAAACGTCTCTGCTACAGCCAGCACGATCTCGCGGATCGCATCGCGACCCAAACAAGTCTTGGGACCCGCTCCGTAGGCTACACCGGGCGCCAGGCCCTTGTCAAGATATCGATCTGGGTCGAACACATCCCAAGTCGACCCGTAAGTCGATCGATCGCGGCCACCGCCCACGAAATACAACCAACAGTCCCAGCCCTTTGGTATTCTGATGTCAGCCTGCTCTCCCGGTGACGAGATGATATTGTCTCTTGTTGATCGTCTCATGACGCCTACAACCGGCGGGCTAAGTCGTTCAGTCTCTAATAATATGGCGCGTAAGCGTAGCGAAAGCCTCCCTGGTTCAGTTTCACCGACCAAAGTATCGGCCAGCGATCGACCGTCCTTCGTCCGATACAAGAATAGGTTTGACAAGAAGGCTGTCAGAAGAGATGCTAGCGCTTTGACAGCGAGGCTGCTGGTGAAGAGGACTGAATGCTTTGCAACGTCCTCTCTTTCCCCTTGGTCCGCAACAGCAAATGGACATGCTTTTACTTCTTCTTTCATATGACGCAAAATCCTGTCTTGCAGCTTCTTGTTCGCCTCTTTACCCTTCTTACGAGGCGAGTGCCAGAAACCTGTGTTAACTGTCACCGGGAACAGCGAGAATTGGCCTCGAAGCAGGTCTTCCTGTAGGCTCTCCAGGGTATCGAAGAGACTGTTGTCGCGGTCGAGACCCAGGAATGTTCCGAGCAGTATCTTCCATGAAAGCCTTTTCAGAGACTCATACATGTCTATCTCTGACGTTGACGGCTCAGAAAAATGTTGATTGACCCGCTCAGATACTGCAGGAGCTAGCACTTTCTTGAGAGACTCCATTCTCGCTTCCCATGTTTGACGCATAGATGCATGTTCGTCACCATCCGTCAGTAACAAGTTCGGTGATGGAAAGAACGGTGCCATCAGCTCAGCATATGCGCCACTGGCTTCGTAACCTGCCGCATCTTGGGCCAGGACTTGATGGATTTGCGCATGCGAGGAGACGATTGCGACATTGCGATTCAGCACCTTTGCCCGAACGATAGCTCTATTCTCCACAGCCTCCGGGTGCTGTCTTTGGAAATCGATGATGCGCGATGTGATGAATGCCTCTGGCGAGTTGTGGAACGAGAAGCTTTCGGCAAACCCGCGCAGTGTCGAAGAGCTGCCCTGGGGAAGTTGCGGTTCTGGCTTAGGCATCGTGGAGAGTGGATTTGGCTGCGAACTACAGATCGCAGCAACGTCTAACCTCATATCGCAACGGGTATCTCGGCTGCGGGGGTGTGGTGGTCGCTACGTCATCGACTTTACGCCACCGCTTGGTATCCAACGAGTCTAGACACAGCTTATCCTGGAATTTCTGAGGTTTCAAAGCTCACTGCAAACGAAATCACTTGAGAATGGATATAAAACGTCCCTATGACGAAGGAACGAAACGACCCTACCAAGACGAGGTGATACCGACCACGCATGCAACTACTTTCAAGCAACCGCTTCTCCACAACGCCTACGCATACCTCTGCATTGCGCTTTTGTTCGTCAACTACTTCCTCGCGCAATACGATAAATTCATTCTATCATACTTCCAGACTTCTGTGTTAGCAGATCTCTCGTTGAGCTCGACCCAATATGGCCTGCTCTCAGGCTACGCAACAGGCATTGTCTACGCCATACTCGCTCTCCCCATCGCTTTCCTGTCAGACTATACATCTGCTCGCGTATGGGTTCTGTCCGTTACAGCGGCATGGTGGAGCTTATGCGTCATCTTCCAGTCTCTAGCAAACAACTTCGGACAGCTATTCTGTGCAAGACTTGGAATGGGTATCGGACAGGCAAGTGTGGAGGCACTATCCATCAGTCTCATCAGCGACCTGGTGGGATGGAGAAACGTGTTCATCGGAGAGAGTGTACTCTATGTTGGAGTATACATTGGCGAAGCCATCAGTGGCCAGATTGCAACCGCGTTTACGGAAACCGGCACGAGTTGGCGCATAGCTTTACGAGCAATCGGTATCACGGGATGCGTTGTAGCGGTGCTATTGAGACTCGTCCTACGGGAACCAAAGAGAAGAGAAAGCCTGGTTCAAATGCACGCACGCCATCACAGCAACAGCATAGACGAGGATTTCGCCGATATACCACCGCACATCCAAGGTACATCGAGGATGAAAGCAGCAACGTCTGATCTGCATGCTACTTTTACGTACATCCTCCGCATGAACTCCTTCTGGCTCCTCGTTCTCTCCGCCGGCTTCCGTCAGTTGAGCGGCAACGTCTTCGGATACTACATGCCCAGCTATCTCGGCGATACATATCCTTCGCATACCGAAATTTTCTCACGTTACGGCATCATCGTCGGCGTCGTCGGGTCAGTCGCGGTACTCAGTGGCGGCATCATGACCTCGGTACTATGGCCACGTACGAAACTAACGCCTGTCTATCTGACCGGCATTGGAGGCATGATCAGCTCGCTTTTCGTTCTCCTCATGATCTTCTCGCGCGATATTGCCAATGGTTCGGAAGACCGAGGCATCAAGATTCTCTACGGCGTGATGAGTCTTGCTTATCTCACTGCAGAACTCTGGCTGGGCTGTCTTTTCGCGCTCATTGCGCTGCTTCTTCCTCCGCGTTATAAGACATTTGGACTTGCTATCTGGGGTAGTGTGCAAGTTCTGATTTACTCTTCAGGGCCTCAGATCATTGGCCTGTCGCTGATGGATGAGGAGACAACGAGTGAAAGCTACAGAAGGGTGACACAATTGTGCTTGGCAATTATCATCCCTGTTGGTTATTGGCTGGCTGGTATCGGGTTTCTTCTCTCGATACCTTTGGTAAAAAAGGACTTGAGGGAGGAATTTGCTACGGGGAGGTTGAGTCGTAGAAGGACAATTGGGTTCAGCATCTTCGCAGGGGTGTTAGCAACCGTTGTAATCACTTTGTTCGTTGTAAGCTTAGTGTATCAAGCGTAAATGTTCATAGCACGTTAAGCACGAATAACTTTCCATTGTGCTCTACAGAGCTGGTTTCTAGGCGCAACACCATGCTTTACTTGAAAGACAAGCCCAGAAGATCTTCAACGCCTGCGTATAGTGGGCAAGCATAGTCTGCCTCGATCAGTGGCCGAATAGTCACGCCACTACTTCCGTCTTTGCCCAACACACCCAACTCCTTGCCAAGCGCACTACCCACCTTGGGCCATCCAACGCCACCAGCGGGGTTCTTCGCAAAGTTTGCCCAAGTCTTCTGCATGAAAGCACTGAGTTGAATCTGCTGCTGCGTCGCAGTGCCGAATTCGCTTGAAAGCGGATACGTGCCAAAGACCTCAGGGATCTCAGCAGTGTGGTAGGCGCCTGGGTTGGGGAAAAGGGCGACCGAAGGAAATACGGGCGTGAACTGGTATCGATAGGTTGTGCGACCAGAAATGGCGAGGTAGTTCGCTAGCCTGGCTGTCGTACATGTGAAGACTAAATCTGTGCCGAGACGATCGGCTAGTTCGTAGAAATCTGTGATACCCTGTGCAGCATATGCCGCAATTATGGAGTCACGAACGGCTTGGGATGTGATGTTGTACTGGCTGAAGAAGTTGTTCACGGCGGTTTTACCGTCCGTTACACCGGCTACTGCCAGGAAGGCACGTGCTTCGTTCAAATTCGTCCCTAGCATCGTTGGTACGTTGGCGAACTTCCCGGTGGAGATGCTGAGTCTAACGTCGGGAACAGAGGTGCCATCGTTGTTGACAGGTGGGAATGCGAGCGAGTTCGGCTCGATATATGCTTTGATGTCCTCGGCGGATACCTTGCGAAGGCAAGCAATGTCTGTGCAGCCAAAATGCAGCAAGACCTGCTTGTAGTTGACTAGGCCGTTTCCGGGAAGTACCGCATTCTGAGACTCAAGGATAGCTGACGAGAATGGAAGTGGGCTGGGTGGGTTGGCCAGCAACTGCTTGACCGATTCGCCGCCTGCGGATTCACCGAAGATCATCACGCGAGAAGGATCGCCGCCAAATTGCGCAATGTTGTCTTGTACCCATTGCAATGCGAATCGCTGGTCTAAAAAGCCAGCGTTTTGGGAGCCAAAGGGTATTTCCGGCGAGTTTGAGAAGCCGAAGACTAAGTTTGGCATGTTAGTCACAGAACATCTGGACTTGGAATGACAGAGACACTCACTGTTCGTGCGATAGTTGATGGTGACTACGACGACATCTTCGTTGATCGCTAGAGAGCTTCCGTCGTAGAATCCCAGTCCGCCAGTTCCGAAAGCTAAGTTACCCTACATATGTCAGCATACTGTCAGTTTCCGCAAAAGGAAAGTGGATGCATACTCCGAACAGCCAGAACATAACGGCCTTCTTGCTTGAAGATGTCACACCTGGCGGTGTGTAGACATTGAGGTACAAACAATCTTCACTCTCCGCCGGCGGTGAAGAGGTAGGGTTGTTGAAGTACTCCATAGTCCGTGCACGGATATCGCCAGTGCCAGAGAACTGCTGAATACATGCTGGTTTGATCGTCTGAGCCTGTAGAGGACTAGTCCATGGTGCCGCTGCTTCTGGTGGCGCGAATCGAAGAGGAGGCGATTTAGCAAAAGGAACTCCCAGATAGGCGTTCGCTGAGGCAGTCAATGATGGCTGGTTCGAGGGCTTGGTCGTGGTTCCTATGATGACACCAGAGGCAAGCGTGACCGTTGGCCCGTTTTCAACGGGCGCTGACAGGACTCTTGACGCGAAAGAGCATAGTAAAAGCGCTTTGCTCACGGACGAAGCGATGTGAAACGCCATCGTGGAGGTAGGGGATGATTGAGAGTGTAGAGTTGGAAGTCACACAAGACTCTTGGATCATCTACTTCCATGTCGGGAAACAACTGTTATAAGTCAAGATGACAGCACGCTAGGGCGATCTGAATTGGATGCTAGTCTGTCAGCACGATGTCGGTAGTGTATATTGTGTCGGTGTTGTATGCAGATCATCGTCGGTCTTTGTTTAGCCTGAGCGGTAGTCGAGGCTACTCCAGGGTTTAAGCATCTTCGGAAGCATGATGTAGCCTATGATCGTGGAAGGAAGAACGGCCCACGACTCAAGCGAAAGCGAGAACGACAGCCTATGCCCCAGCATCCGGAGTCGTGGCTCCAGATGATCGACAAATAGCGCGTGCGACCAGATGCAAGAGTCCATTTCCCCTGCAACAGATCTGGATGCGGTCTACAAATCGCTTCCGGTGAGTTCCTCTTATAGTCCGACCACCAATCAGCTCGTTGACGATGCCTCGGCACTGCACAAGCTCCCCTTTCGCCGCAGATCACCGTTCGTTCAGCCAATCATCGCACTCGGGTACCTCGGCAAGAGTTACAGGCATCGACCGTCATCGGGGGTACTGACGCGACCGTGGCTATCAGACACTCAAATCGATGACTTCTCCGCATGTCGTCCGTCTCACAGTGATCTCGTTGACCGTACTGTCGCGTAGGAAGCCTCGCTACTGAGTGCGGGGAGGTTAGGCTTGCCGCCAGAGCTCGTCGTGTTCTACCGGGGCGATGGGATCGCTTGCAGCTCTGGTGTCGATGCCGCACAGTCATTTAACATGCGATATACGTCGTAAGAGATGGTGTCCGGTCTGTTCTAATTTGTATGGTTGGGTTGCCAAAGCGAAAATGCAGGAGGCCAGCTTCCCGTTAAGAGGGTTTGCGATCGGTGCCAAGCCATGATTGCCTAGGTAAGCAACGATCCCCTACGCGGGTGGCTGGAGGACTAGGCATCTTGACTTAGTATTGCAGCATCGATGCAGGCGAACAATGGGAGAGTCAGTATCAGAAAACCAGTGCATCATATGTCACAAGCGCTGAGAAGGGTTCAAGAGTATGAAGACGGAGTTGTTGATTGAATGCCGCGTGAACCTTCCAGGGTTGGAAAAGGTCCAAGCGCGTCCGTCCGCCTTCTTTGGCGACAAGAGGGAATGACGCCGAGTTGTCGGCCATCATCGATCGCGCCCCCTCGTCGCCTTCATTCGTCTTATCTCTTTACTGTTTCAATCGTCTCAACACCAATGTCCTTCTCATGTTCCATACCCTTATTCCTTGCAACGACTTCTTCCTCGGTCAATATCGGCTTGCCGCGAAGCTGCGCCCAAACAGCCTGGTGCATCGGCCTTAGGAAGAGGGCGTCCATCTCCTCAAGACTGATACCTTTTGTCTCGGGTACAAAGAAGAAACTCCAGATACCCATTGCGACTAAGATGGTGGCGAAGAAGAAGTAAGCCCCATAACCTAGATCTGAGATCATGTATGGGGTACTGCGGGCAATGATGAAGGAACCCAGCCAAGTATCCGCAGTCGTGAGCGAAACGCACAGCATACGGATGTCGAGTGGGAAGATCTCGGAAGCGTAAGTCCACGTGATCCCCTGCCACGTAGCGCAGATGATGAAGGCGTTGATGTAAACGCAGACCATAGCGAGGTAGCCCCAGCCGTTGCGTGTGACATCGCCTCTCAAAGCAGCTCCAGCTGGATCAGCCTTCATGACATAACCGCCGATGTACCACATGGGTATGCAACCGAGTGCAGCTCCCCAGATAAGGCCCTTGCGACGACCAACCTTCTCGACAACGATGAAGGTAAAGGTGAACATGCCGAGTGTCTTTGCGATACCGTAGAACCCAGTGGAGAAGAGTTTCAGCGACGTTCCAGAGATACCAAGTGTTTCGAAGATGCGAGGTGCATAGTAAGTGATGATGTTGACCTGACAAATTAGCCTCTATCGTGCCGTGCAGATGGTATATACTTACACCAGTGAAGGACTGCAGAAACATGAGCGCAAGGCCAATGGCCATGCGGTTACGCACACCCTTCTGGAATAGCTTCATGAACTGTTGCTTCTTGCTCTGTCGATTGGCGCTACGCCGTTCGACTTGGGCGCGGATCTCGCTCATTTCGTGCTGGATGTACGCATGTGACTCGTCGAGGCACCTAATCTTACACAAGATGCGTTCTGCGCCTTCGAAGTTGTCCTTCTTTGCGAGGTATCGAGGCGACTCAGGGCACCATGCGACACCGAGAAGCAAGAGCAGACCAGGGATGAGCTGGATCGCAAGGGGAACGATCCATTGCGTCTGGCCTTCGACGCTAATGGTCTGATCACAAGCATAGTTGATCCAGAAGCCCAGCATACCTCCACCTTGCGAAGCGATTTCGAAAATACCGACCAACCTGCCACGGATGGAAGGTGGAGCTGTTTCAGAGATGTAAACAGGCACGACCATACTTGAGGCGCCAATGCCTAGACCTGCTACGGCTCGACCACCATAGATCATGTTAAGACTACCTTGAGAGGCAGTCATGAGTGTGCCGCCAAGCAGGAATACCGCAGATGCAAATATCATAGTCTTTTTTCGACCAATGCGTTCCGCGAAGGGGAAAGCGATAAGCGCTCCGAAGAAGCATCCCGCCTACTCATTGTCAGTCCGGGACGACTTGGCAACAGCTCGTTTCTTGAAACTTACCTGGAAAGTAGAAACGATGTTGCCTTGAATTGTGTCGCGATTGCTCTTTGCGATGTCGTTCATGCCGAAGTCACGAATGAAGGACTCGAGGGCCATAGTCCCGCCAATAACGGCTGTATCGTAACCCACTGTTTCGACATTAGCTTTTACACTCAGACTGATTCAATCGTACTTACTAGCTAGCGCAGACATCGAGGCGATGAGTGCGATGAGGTGGATCCGCCAGTTGCGGACCTCTGGCGGGTCCAGAGTACCGGATGCATGAGTGTTAAAGCAACCCATATGTTGGTTTAAGGTTTAGTGAATTTGATCGTAAGATTGATTGACAGAGTATGGTTTCTAGCCCGATTATGAGCATTCCGAGCGAAGGGTGTGTGTCCTCTTATGCCC